CGCCACCTCAGCACGGCTTGATGAGCAGTGAGTAGGTCCACGCCCAGGATCTGAACCAGCGAACCCCGGGCTGCCAAAGCGGAATGCGCAAACTTAACCACTACACTAACAGGCAGGCACCAATACTTCTCTTATTTTTAACAGAAACTGTACACCCCAACAAAAAGTATAACTTTCACATAAAACACACGCAGTACTCTTCCCTAAGCCTCAGTACCTCTTGTCATGCTCCACTCACACTCCCTTACTCCCTCTCCCTTGCACACTTGTGTGGACTTGCATGACCTCTAGTTGGTAGTTTCCTACCTTATAATGAGTAATCTCTACCCTGACATGAATTCCATGGAAATTCCAAAGCATTACTCTCATTCATATTCTCTTACCAATTCGAACAACTACAATTCTGTACAACCTTCTAGAAGCAGGATTTTATTTATGTGGGTTGCTTTTCCTAGTCTCCTTGTTGAGGCCACCCAGTGACCCTCAACAAACTTTATTCCACTCTCCATTCTACTGATATCTCTGCTTTCTTATTCAGCAACTTCAACTTCTGCACAGAGTTCTCTCCAGATATACCACATGCATTTAGTCACTACCCACACAGGTAGTGAGCTCCCCTTATAGCCAGGCACTATGCCGGAATGCCCCAGAGACACAGAATGAGTCAGCCAGGCTCCCTGCTCTGGGAGAATCTCACTTCCCATGTTCTGACATTGTCACATCTACAACGCTTGAGATCTCGGGGAAGGAATTTCCAAACTGTGTTTCCCCAACATTAGTGTTGTATGAGACTTTAATAGACAGTCCTGACCAAACAGAACAGTTCTGAGCTTAGATAAATTTGGGAAACAGAATTACGGTCATGCACTGCCTGACAACATTTTGGTCAACAGTAGACCACGTATACGACGGTGATCCCATAAGATTAGTACCATATAGCCTAGGTGTGTAGTAGTCTATACCATCTAGGTTTGTGTAAGTACACTCTAGGATGTTCACACAACAACAAAATCACCTAACAACGCATTTTGCAGAATAGACTCCCATCATTAAGTGACACATGACTGTACATGTGCTAACATATATTATGAATTTTGAGGAGGAGGCTATACATAGTAGGTTTTTCTAAATGTACTTGACTTGCAAACCATCTTTTCAAGGAACCCCTGTTTGAGACAGTATCATTCCTCTGACAGCATATGGAAAATTCTGGCTCGAGAGTAGTTTCAGCCCATGCAGTCCTGCCAAATGCTGAGGACCAGATTAAAGTCATTCAAACATTCATCCTGGTTAGGTGGAAAATGGACATCTCTTTGCAATTTCCCTTAGCTCTGCCTTTTGAGTAATAAATAAGTTGAGTCTGCACCCAATACTTATTTACTTTCCATAGGTATGTGTTCTGTGCAATTTACCATCTAGAGGCCTAATGACTTCCCAGTCTATAGTCTTAGCCCAGATCTCTCCCCTGAGCTCCAGACCCCATATTTCCTGCTGTCTGCTGGACAACCACCTATTGGAGATCTTTAACAGAATGTCCAACAAGCACTTCAAATGCAATTTGTCCCACATAAAAGTGATTACTGCCCTCTTAAAACTCATTTCTCCATCTGCATCCCCTAATGGCCCCATTACTACCATCCAACCAGAAACCTGGGAGATGTTCTGAACTTGACCCTCCCAACCAAGCTGTCATTAAGTCTTCCTGATTCTACCTTCCAAGAAGCTCTTGAATTTGCTCCCTATTTTCCACTCTCAACTGCCATCATCTAATTTGGGGTCCTCACTATAGTGGTTTTCTAATTGGCTTCTATCTTAGGTCAGGTTTTTGGGAAACAGACTCTGGGTTTCTGAGACTTGCATGCAGGAAGGTTATTGGAGAGAACTATGGAGCATAACCCCAGTGCGAGGAGTGGAGGCAGTCAGCCCAGGCAGAGGGAGAAGTTGAACTTTTGATGTAGTTGTGAGAATAGCCTCAACCAATCTTATAGAATGCTCTGGAACTGGATGACCCTTCAGAGTTGTCGCAACTTGCTGCAAAGTGTTGGGGCGTCGGGGCCTTAAACCAACACATTCCCACACTCTTCAGCCTCCATTCCTTACCCCTCCCACCCCCACTGGATGTGGGAAGCCCCCCACCCCACCCCACCCCACCCCAGGGTGGCATAACCTTTGGCCAAGGGTAATCCCCAGAATGGACCTCAGCTGAGAGCTACCAGCCCCCAACTCTTACAGCAAGTGGAGGAATAAGTGCCTTAGTCCTGAGGGGGGATCCGGGTGGTATACCACAGCATCCTCATCCCTAATCTTGCTGCTTTCCAATTCATGCCCCACAACACCATCAGCGGAGTTTTCTAAACCCAAATTTAATCACACAACACCCTTACTCAAGACCTTTCAATACTTCCTCCTTGCCTACAAGATAATTCAAATCTGGTCTCTGTCTACCTGTGAAGCCTTGTCTCCCACAGCTTTCTTCCTTGCACACACTCTTGCCCCACTAACACCAATCTACTATACTTATCAATCCTTTACAAACACTGCTCCCCCTGCTGGAAATGAGTTTTCCCCACTTCTCTCACTAGGAAACTCCTATTCATCCTTTACGGCCCAGTGTAAGCACCCCCTCCTCTGCAATGCCTTCCTTAATATCCTCAAGCAGAGCTAATATCCTGTATACTCTTTTTATACTCTTGTAGTTATTTTCTTATGTGACCACTAGACTGACCTCTTTAAGAGCAAAGCCTGTGTTATATTCACTTTTGAATGTGAATGAATGAATCAATCAGCCATTTCAATGAGTATTGTATAAAGCTGTGTCTACTTGGACTGTCTCAAACTAACTGAAGTTGACTTCAGTCTAGTCAGCTGTCTTTTCAGGGACTTAATCTAGTTGCTCAGTGAGGGCCGTAGGTCCCTGGGGGGAGAGACTCTATTTGGAGAATCTCACCTGGTTCAGTATATATAGCTCAACACTTTGAGGGCATTGGGCATCAAATAAATACTTCTCATTATGTTGATGCTGCCCCTCATGTTGGGCAAGGGGCATAGCCAATGACCTATGGGATATGTTATAAAAGGTACCATAAGGCCTGACTTGCCTAAAAATCTCTCTTTTATGACTGAGGTTTCCTTTCATGTCCATTCTGAAATTCTTACCTTTATTTTTCCTAATGGTTGGACCAGTGGTCCTGTGAGTGGGGTGAATGCACTCTACAACATGGCAAGCTGATGCGTCTGTGGAAGAGAATTTCTATGTCCATTTATTTTTATTTTATGAATGCTTTGTAATGTCCAAAATATAGTAATACAATAACATATATATAATTTATAAACAAATGAGAGTATACACTCAAAACATTTTTACTAAGTAGCACATCTTTAAAAAATTTGGAGACCCCTAGATTGGACTCCAAAGACTGGTGACTTCTTCAGCCTTCACCCATTAGCTTTTCAGCTGATCTGATTCCTGGGCACCGAAGGCCTTGGGGGAACTCTGAAATCCAGGATCGGGACAGCTAGGAATGAAAGCTAGGGGCAGGCAGGGGAGCAGCACTACCCAGGGAGCAAAGGCGGCATCTAGAGAGCTGGTGAACCATCTAGTGAGGAACTGAGAACCTGGAATGTAGAGAGGCAGGAGGTGGAGCAGGAAATAGCAATAGGCAGGGCAGCCAACTGGAGGTCTGAGGAGATATGAAAGAGCAACAGTCCCTACTTCCACCAGGAAGATGCCCCATCTGCCTTTCACTATGGTTGGAGCACATGCCAGAATGTAGCCAGCCGGATAAGAAGATGGCAGTGGCTGCTCCAGAACGCCTAGGGGGGCCAAGAGGCAGCAGTCTGATTGGAGTCAGGGCATAGGAGCCTTGTCTTAAAGTTGCATTCACATAACCAGAGGACTGCTTTTACTTGGGTTATATGGTTCTTTGGGGATGGCTGTAGGGATGATGGTGGAGATGAGGGGAAGGGGAGGGTGTTGTTAGCAACGCAGCCCTTAGTTCCCCTCTCGCAGGTGGAAGCCAGTGAGCTACATCAGGCTAGAAAGGGGAGTATGGCATCTGAGCTGAGGAGAGACCCTGACCTGGCACCAAGCCCTGGGGGCGTGAGGGCCGTGTTGTGATGATGATGCACCATAATACCTCTAGCAGCCCAGGATCCAGGAACACAAGGCACGAGCAGGGAATGGGCCTTCTCAGTGGGAGATGAGGTGAGGGAAGAGGGGGCTCCAAGAGCAAAACTTTCACAAAGAACAAAAAGGAGACACAGAGAGACCCCAAAGGCAAACACAGCTAACTTGACAGGTTTGGCCCCAAGGTGAGGAAGCCGGCTTCACGCCTCCAAGTCCCGGTTCCACTAAAGAGTCAGCGGAAGACTGTTTGATGGGCATGGAAGGACACTATATGCAGACTTTTCTTACATACAGAGTTTTCTGGAAAACAAAAAATATCCGAAGAGAGACAAATGCAATTTCTTATTTGGTTTTTAGAGTCTCACACTCTTACTATTCTACCAACAGCAGACTATAAACCCTTTGAAGGCTACACCCACTTCTAGCTAATCAGATTTTACATTTGTAAAGCACTTCAGTTAACAGAAACTCTTACATTTACTATTTCACACATCCTTACCACAACCCAGCAAGGTAGGTATTCTCACATCCATTTTGCAGATGGTGATATAAAAATTCAAACAATAAGATCGTTTCGCCGGAACCTACATTCTGCTATGAGGAATCTGAGGCCCAGGTGGGGTTAATTGATTTACCACAGACAAAATTCAGATGCTTGTCAAAGCCAGGACCCAGCCCAGGGCCCACGGAACTCCATCTCCTCCTCATCCTCCATCCTTTTATTACACTTCCCTCCCTGCCCACCCTGGCGCTGAAATCAGAGGTCAGCAGACAGAAAGCGGGCATGAGGGATGACTAACAAGTTCTATTGGCTCTGCCTTTCTCTTGATTCTCCCAGGCAGTTTGTTCTAACATCCTCTGTGTTTCTTTGCAGCATGCAAAAGGAAAGAGCAAGAACACGGGAAGGATAGAGGCAACACACCCAAAAAGCCCAGGTTGGTCTTCACAGATGTCCAGCGTCGAACTCTACATGCAATATTCAAGGAAAATAAGCGTCCATCCAAAGAATTACAAATCACCATTTCCCAGCAGCTGGGGTTGGAGCTGAGCACCGTCAGCAACTTCTTCATGAACGCGAGGAGGAGGAGTCTGGACAAGTGGCAGGACGAGGGCAGCTCCAATTCAGGCAACTCATCTTCTTCATCAAGCACTTGTACCAAAGCATGAAGGAATAACCACGAACTAAAACCTCGGTGGAAAAGCTTTAAATAAAAAAAATTTTTAAAAGACCAGGACCTCAAGATAGCAGGTTTATACTTAGAAATATTTGAAGAAAAAAAAAGTGTTATTTATAGTCCAAAGAAACCAAAGACTGAGCTCACCTGCATTCTGACTTTGTTCGGAGACACACACGTCAGCGGGGCGACGACTTGGCAAGAAACATGATGAGTGGGAAAACACCACTGGATCTCACACCTTCAATCCATGATCATTCTCGCTGTGCTTGGCTATTTCGTGGTTTGGAGCATAGTGGTTTTGAGCCATTGAGTGGACATCTTTTAAGATCGAACTTTCTCATCTGTTCCACCGCGCCACGAAGGTGTATGGTGTCTCAGTACTGTGTGTGCGTGTGCACATGTGCACACGCGCAGACACACACACCACCGGTGGTTAGGGACTTAGGCAGGGCTGGTCTTCAGGAAGGGTTGTGCTGTAGGAGTGCAACCAACACAGTGTGGGGTTGTCTGAGTTCATTGGATTAGGAGTGTGGTTTCACTCACCTAGCCTAGTGTTTGAACCTGCCAGGCCTGCAACCTAAATGCAGATTCAAACCCAGCAAAGGAAATTTGAATGACACCTAAACCAGTGCATTCTCTTTGTTTGTTAAGGAATGTTCAGATATTTTTTAAGAAATGAAACAAGAGTCCATCCATTAAAAAAAAAAATCACCTAGGTACCAAAGAACACACTTAATATTATAGTGCAGGTATTTTATTGCAATGATTTTAATAACCAAAGCTATTTTTACACAAGATACTATGTAAAGTTATACGTATGAACTGATCTAGCTGTAATACACATGCCACATAGAATCATGACTATTATTTATGACTCTTGAAGCATTTGAAATATTAGTTTTCAGAACTGGCAAGAAAGAATGTAGCTTCAGGGAAGCAATTAATATCATAACAGAGAGGTCGCTGCAGAATACATGTACATCCAGATGGCACACTCCCTTTCGGGATCCATAAATGTCACATAGGTAGACATAGACATGATTCCACAATCTGTTCAGAGCTGAGAAAACCTGGGGATTCTTCCAAAGTAGGACCCCATTTATAAACTGGACAACTAAGTTTAACAGGGCAGGTAACTAAATTAGAAAATTTGTTCAAAGTAATGCTTTTTGGTAAAAGACCAATGAATAAAGAATTCCATACTTAGGTTAATTTGACTTAAATTTGCTTTATGCAAAAGGTATTTAAAAATGCCTTTTTAAAATACTTTACAAATACACCAAGTGAGTATACCAACATTATTATTAAAATTAATTATACAGTATTTGTAATCATCCTTAAAATGTAATTAACTGATTTTATTGCCTATCCCAGATTTTATGACTTGGACATCAACAAAAATGGCAGGTGCAACCAAGAAATGGCAGAGTTGGTGGAACTGCATAGAAAAAGCCAGAGTTCTAGTGAAAGACAAGACATTGGGTTCTATAGGTATTAAGCTATTTATTTCACTAAGCATAGCCTCTAAAGCATACTACATTCTTTCTTGCTACTGCATTAAGCTGGAAATTTTATAACATAGATTCCACTCTCTACCAGGGACAGACAAAAAACTAGACCTGAGCTTCCAAATACGACATTTAAATTTCCATTTTTTTCAAATCACTTAACCAGGGCTATAGAAATCAAGGCAAAAAAAATAATAATAATAACATAGTTGTAATAGTAGTAACCGACTGAATCACTTGATTCCCAGAAAAATTCTCTGAATTCAGCTGAATTGTAACTCATAAAAGTGGATGCCTTTTGTACTATTAGGTCAAGAATTGGATACTCTTGGTTAATTACCACACCTAACTAGAAATATAAAATTAAATGTTAGCTCAACAATAAGTTGTTTATTGAGATTCACTAAAACAGTAAAGAAAAAAAATTAAACCATCTTGACACAAAACCTAGCTCCTTAGGATCAAATCTCAGCATCTTGTCTAGGTCTAGAAGAGGCAGGCACCTGGAGGGAGGAGGCCAAACCAACAAGCCATCTGGGTCTCCTTCATGTTGGCTATAGAATGAGAAAAAGAAACCAACACATCCTTCTCCTTTGATGCAATGGCACATTTGCCTTGACACATTTTGTCTTTGTATTTTTTTTTATCTCACCCCAAATTCCAGCTTAAAATTTTCCCTTCTAAATATGGCACAATTATAATTCAGCTATTAAAAGAGACCATTTAAATGGCCACCCTTCGAGATTTGCTGAAAATATAATCTTGTCAATGACATAAACAAAAAGGAAAAACCTGATTAACTTTTTCTCTCTCTCCAGGAATGGAGAGGGCCAGGGGTACAGCTATATAATGTATTTATAATTTAGGAGGGAGGAAAGCCTTATTTATTTAAAACATGAGAATTTTAAATGCAGGGAAATACAGGCTGTGTCTACACATGATCTTACCAAATTCAATACCCCAGGAAAAACGAAAGTTGAATTCAGACAACCATGGTTTTTTTGGTTTTTACTATATTACTCCCTCAGATTTATCCAACTGCATTTTAAATGTTCAACCAATTATTTTAGTACTGTGTAGACACAGGCTCAAAGAATATTACTACATTTTTAATATTCCCCTCATAATGGTTTTTTGAAAAATAACCAGTGATCCTATTTGCTAACACCAAAGATAATTTTCATACCAGCATTGAATTTGCACCCATTATGCAATTTCAGGGCCTAGAGATATATTTTCTCATAAACAGATGCACAAATCAGAGCCTGAAAAGCAATTTTTTTACTTGACTGTTTAAGCATACTCACAGCCTTCGCTTTTTAGAAATCATAGTGAACAAACTCAGCTTCTCACAAGCAATACGCTTATTACATCGTGTATGACTGGTTCTTTATTGCTTCTACTTGGCGCGTAGAGAGAAAATGCTTCCATTCCTGTTTTGTATGGCATTGAGTTATGGCTCAGCTTTCTTAACCTGCCACGTTCAACAGAGCAGATCACGTGCCATTTGTTCACTCATTATTTCTCAATCCTTTAGCAAAAGTCACCTCAAAAGGTATGTCACTTTTATTTTTGTTTATCTGTATGTTTGTTTATTCCAAAACTGCACTGCAAATAACACCTTTTGAGTTTTTTTGGTAGAATGGAAATTAGACTCTTTTTGGCCATCAACCATTCAGGTCCTCTCATGACCGGAAGCTTCCCTGAAAGGGGGCCGAGAGAGTGGGATATGTGACGTCTGGACACCCATAGCCCAGACTTCAGTCAATGTTCAGGTAAAAGAATTCTGGATGTCAGGAACTGAGTATTCCAGGAACTGGATGCAGCTGGAATAGGCCCCCCAAACCAAAGAAAATGTGTGGGGAAATTCAGAAGTTCTAACTGAACATGGCACTCACTCTGCCCAAAAAAAGCATAATTAATTTTCCAGGAACAAAAGTAAAAGCATTATGCTACTTTTGGACTCGTGCCACTTCCCGTTGCTACCCCAGGTGAATGACCCATCTTTGCAGGTTAAATGCAAACTTCGCTATACCAAAGAGTCCTAGGACATTCTCACATGAGCTATAAAGGCATTTTCCCTAAGAAAGGTCCTCCCTTCTTTGTACATAAAGGATGAAAACTATGCATTTAGCAAACAAAGAGAAAGCACTTCTCCCTTTCCTATCTAGTCGTTTAGGGTGCATTCAAACCCCAGAGGCCATTTTGAGACGCGATTGGCCTTCTGGACTATTCTTGTGGTGTGGTTAGCTTTACAGTACATTTGGTAACTATTTCCTAAATAGTACGGAAAAGAAGCAGAAAGTAAGAAATAGCTACTTCCACGTGTAAAAAAAAAAAAAAAAAAAAAAAGGTGTAAAGATCTACTATTTATAGTGTGAACCAAAGACGCTACCTCACTCGATTTCCATTGGTGATTTTAATCACATTGATGATACCAAAGAATACCAAAGATATTTTCATGCACGGCCTTGGTCTGCAGAGGGAACTCCGCCCCCTTTCTCCTCTCCCACCCCCCCCACTCTTCACTCAGTGTGTAAACTTGTCTTCATTCTTAATAATAATGATATGATAATAACAACAACATTAGGAAATACTACTCCTATTACTGCTAGTTCTACTTGTAAATCTCTAGGCAAACATGTTGCAAACTTTGTAAACTCCTAGGACGAGTGCCTTGCTTGAACCAAAGTGTTAAACCGCTGTTGACCTCTCTCACCTTATACTCTTTGAATACCTCAGCCTCTTAGAAAGGCCACTAATGAAAAAAAAAAAACGAATAATTATTCACCGTGGTGCTTTTTCCGTGCAACCATGCAATGAAACTTTCTTTGATACCAAAGGATGACTTTTTGTTCTCAATTTCTTGCTGATAAACCAAAGCTCCTCCTCCTCGTTCCCTCTCAAGGCTCCCCCACTTCACCGAGTCCCTTCACCAGGCAGGCCGTGCATCACTTTTACCAATTCCTCCAAATACCTCATAGTAATAAAGTTTTAGGGTTATGTTGTATAGAGAGTCTATGTGATAAGGCAGAACTTACTAGTTTGATAATTGTTAAGGTTACTTTTGAAAGAAACTTTATAATTCTTATTTATTTTGTAGTTTGTACGTTTGGGATGTCCCCCGCCCCCCCCCTTCGGTTCGGGGTTTATTTTCTTGGCAGAACTGCTCTGTTGCTCAAGGAAGACTTAATTTCCGGAAATGTTCCCCAGGTGGGTTAAGGGTTGTGTAAAAATGCAAGAATGGAATAGGAAACGATTTTCATTTTGGTGGTTACTTATGAAGTTTTTGTGTTGCGTAGTAAACTTGTTTCCACAGGGTAAAAAATATATATATAATCTCTTTTTTGTGAAACTGGTTCCTATTTTTCTCTACAATGTGCTGTGATTTTTTTAATTTAATTACATTTTATATGAGCTTATTTAATCACTGCTTTAATTTATGATTGTGTAGTTTTTAAATTGTATATAGTAGAATCAAAATGGCCAAAGCTTTATGTTACAATCTTTTTGTTCTCGATGCT